TTTTAAACCTAATATTATCTATGACTTCAAGGGGTTAATAAACCTACAGAAGTTAGATGACTTAATTCGCAAGAGATCTTTCTGAATGTACTTATTTGCTATGGTTTCTTTTTGTATTTGTTTTAAATTTTGAGTTCTTTGTTTTGTTTTTTGTTTAAGAACTTCTCAACTGAATGCCTGTAAACACTGACATTTATAAAATCATTTCAGATTCTTTTTTCCTTAATCTATAATTTTCTAGGAGAAAAGAGAATATTTACTTATAATTTATTTATTCTTCATATACAGAGTTGAAATAAATTATATTTTTTAGAAAAGAATGCATTATAGATACTTAGAACGTTCTAAGGTTTCTGAGATGAGGGATCATCTGCTGTACTAACTCATCTTAGAATATCACCCAGTCCTTACCCCTACTACCTGCTCCATTAAACTTTAATTGAGGAAAGTAATACAAATTTCATTCAAGAGCGTTTTAAGTATAAAGAATAAAGGCTCATTCTTATGTAGTCACATAATGTAAGAAAAACATATGAAACATTGCCACCAAAATCCTTCACAATACAGTTTAAGCTGGACAAAGCTACAATATTGCCTCAATCAGCAGACACATGCTGGACTGGAGAAATAAACATGCTGGAGATTGGCACTGGGTTGATTTCAAGAAAGTCTTTTTATTATTATTATTATACTTTAAATTCTGGGGTACATGTGCAGATCATGCAGAATTGTTACATAGGTATACACATGCCATGGTGGTTTGCTGCATCCATTCCCGCATCATCTACATTAGGTATTGTTCTTAATGTTATCTCTCTCCAATTCCCCCATCCCCTGCTATCCCTCCCCCTGTGCCCCCAACCCCACAACAGGCCCTGGTGTATGATGCTCCCCTCTCTTTGTCCATGTGTTTTCAATGTTCAACACCCACTTATAAGTGAGAACATGCAGTGTTCGGTTTTCTGTTCTTGTGTCAGTTTGCTGAGAATGATGGTTTCCAGATTCATCCATGTCCCTGCAAAGGACATGAACTTTTTTATGGCTGCATAGTATTCTATGGTGTATATATGTGCCACATTTTCTATATCCAGTCTATCATTGATGGGCATTTGGGTTGCTTGCAAGGCTTTGCTATTATAAACAGTGCCACAATAAACATATGTGTGCATGTGTCTTTATAATTAGAATGATTTCTAATCCTTTGGATATATACCCAGTAATGAGGTTGCTGGCTTAAATGGTATTTTTATTTCTAAATCCTCGAGGAATCGCCACACTAAGTAACAAGAAAGTCTTTTAAGAAATAGTAGTTTTAATTTTCTTTGATATTTTTGCAAAGGAAATCAAGGAATGGAATTGGATTGACATTTTGTTTATGTTTTTGCTGTTGTTTTTGTTTTGTTTGTTTGTTTTTCTATTGCTTGGACAACTAGGCCCAAGTGAAAGTGTTCTGAAAAGCATGAAAAGGTACCAAGCAAGCATCACTAGCAATTCTATTGCATTTTTTTTCAGAGATCATATATTCAGTTTTCCCCCCACACTACCCCTACATTTCCTCTGTTCATTGTAACCTTCAAGAAATTAAATACCTTAGGGGAGCCATTAAGTTCTTCAGAGTTTCCTAAATCCCTCAAGAAACAAAGAAGAACTTTTAATAATATATGTACTATATCCTTTAAAGAGAAGATTGACTCTAGGGACTTTATTCCCATTTTGTTAGGAAGCCACAAACAGAGGAAAGTCAGGGTGACACCACCTTAAAATCAACTCCATCTTACAACTAGCTAGGTGCATTCCTTCCCAGTCACTGCCCATGATCATAAGATGATTTCAGCTAAGGAAGCAGTTTAATAATGCCTGCAAGGACAAACACCTCTGATGAAAAAAAAATGGTCTAGATGCTTCAGTATTGCATAACAACATATGCTATAAGGTAATTATAGTTGCGCTTGATTTACTTACACACTGAAATACCAAAGATGGTTTTCTTTAAATCAGCAGAATAATAAATTTTGCCATGCTGTCAGCTTGCCTACAGGTAGACATAGCTTAGCTTTATTTCTACACAGACAAGATTTTCATATAAAAAAAGCTTAAAGACAAGGCGTTCCTCTGCTTGCTTTCTGAGTAGCTTTCAATAAAGTCTCTCTGCAACTCATCTTGAATTCCTTCGTGCGTCAGATCCAAAAAAAATCTCTTGAAGTCTGCATCCTGACTCCTTTCTCCTGCAACAATTTGAACTAAGACAAATGCGTAAACTTTTTGCCTAAAATTATCTTCTAACACAATAGGTTTTTCATTTTCATTTTATTTATTTATTTTTGTGATGGAGTGTCGCTCTGTCGCCCATGTTGGAGTGCAGTGGTGCAATCTCAGCTTGCTATAGCTTCGACCTCCCAGGCTCTGGCAATCTTCCCACCTCAGCCTCCTGAGTAGTTGGGACCATAGGAGGATGCCACCATGCCTGGCTAATTTTTTTTGTGTTTTGTAGACATGGGGTTTTCTTATGTTGCACAGGCTGGTTTAGAACTCTTGGGCTCAAGCGGTTCACCCACGTCCACCTTCCGAAGTGCTAGGATTACAGGTGTGCCTGGCCTGTAAGTTTATGTTTTGATAATTTTTTTAAAATTGTACTTTAAGTTCTGGGATACAAATGCAGAGCATATAGGTTTGTTACATAGGTATATCGTGTGCCATGGTAGTTTGCTGCATCTATTACCTAGGTGTTAAGCCCCACGTGCATTAACTATTTGTCCTAATGCTTTCCCTCCCTCAAACCTCAATAGGCCCCAGTGTGTGATGTTCCCCTCCCTATGTTCATGTGTTCTCATTGTTCAACTCCCACTTATGAGTGAGAATGTGCAGAGTTTGGTGTTCTGTTCCTGTGTTAGTTCGTTGAGGATGATGGTTTCCAGCTTCATCCATGTTCATCCGTGTTCCTACAAAGGACATGATCTCATACCTTTGTATGGCTGCATAGCATTCTGTGGTGTAATTTTTCTTTATCCAGTCTATCATTGATGAGCATTCAAGTTGGTTCCATGTCTTTGTTATTGTAAATAGTTCTGCAATAGACATACGTGTGTTGTGATCACCTTGCTCTTACTTTCATACCAAGGAGATTGTACCTTTGATTCTCATACATTAAAGAATAAGTTTGAATATCAGTGCTGCTACCTGTAACTGTGATAATATCATTTACTTAACTTATGTATCACTGTAGATTTAAGACAAATTTAACTAACCATTGTCAGTGCTTTGTCTTTGTCTTAGACAGACACTCCTTCCCAGCTCTACAGATAAACCATGGGAAGTGATGGTTATCAGGTTTCTAAATGAGCTGAGGTATTAAACATTTTTTCTTCTATTGATAAGTTAAATTCACTTATTTGAATAACATAGACATGCATTCTACAAACCAGTTAAAATTTTAAAATGAAAAGAAGGAACTGTTCATATATTTATACTTTTAAAAGTATTAAAAAGTATAAGTATTTTATACTTGAAAAAGTATATTTTATGAGATAAAGACTTCAGATTATAGGGACAGGAGAAACTTGTAAGTTGGCCATTTATTCTCATCCCTCATCCTGCACTTTAACCTATTTTTCTGCATAAGCTTCAAAATAGTCATGTAACCTTCGCTGGAATACTGAAAAATCTCAGTGTTTTAATTCGGTGGAATAGTCTTTCATAAAGAGGAATTGCAATCTAAGTCATACCTACCTATTCCCATGGGGATTATTCACTTATCCCCGTAGACACTCCAGATCTCACAGTTCTCTCCTTGTCATTATTTCAGTAGTCTTATTCTTTTCCTGAGTTTTACTCACTCTGCAAGAATAGTGTCTCTCAAGTGAATAGATGATGAAGTGACTCAATGTATCATTGTTATTCTGGAGAGGGAAAGCTGTCAGTATCCCAATTTTTTTTTGAAATATTTATTTATATTCTCACGTGGTTCAGAGAGGCCCAGAGCCAATCTACCCCATCCTACCCTTATGGAAGATTCCCCTCGGCCCACATTGTCCTCACACTTTCCCTTTGCAGAAGGAGGATGATGAATGCTGCTAAGTTGACTTTGTAGATAGAACCTGTGCTGAATCTGGCCCTGTCAAGGAGACTGGTGCCTTGTGCTCATCACTCCTTCCCAGTTCTACTGTTCATGCTTCTTAAATAAACAGGACTTGGTTACAGCAGAAAGGTAAACCAGTGTTCTGAGTTACTGGAACCCAGGTAAAAAAAATTAAGACACCCTCTTTCCCACCTCCACCATCAAGTAGGCACCAGTATCTTTTATTCCCCTCTTTGGGTCCATACATACTCAACGTTTAGCTTCCCTTTATAAATGAGAACATGCGGTATTTGCTTTTTTGTTCCTGTGTTAGTTTGCTTAGGATAATGGCTTCCAGCTCCATCCATGTTGCTGCAAAGGACATAATCTCATTCCTTTTGATGGCTGCATAGTATTTAATGGTGTAAATGTACCACATTATCTTTATCCAGTCAACCACTGATGGGCATTTAAGTTGATTCCATGTTTTTGCTACTGTGAATAGTGCCGCAGTGAACATACACATGCGTGTGTCCTTAGGATAGAATGGTTTATATTCCTTTGGGTATATACCCAATAATGGGATTGCTGGGTCAAATGGTAATTATGTTTTAGGTTTTTTCTTTTCTTTACATAGCTTTAAAATAAAGTCTACTTTAGGTTTTTGTTCACATTAAGACCAGCATTTTAAATGCATCCTAAAGCTAAGACCCTAACTTTTTTCTTTTCCTTCATGCAATTTTTAATGGAACAAGCAAATAAACTGTGTCTGAAGAATGTAGTTGAAATATTCTGATTTTATAGGTAAGACAATCAGAGATTAGAAGTCACTAATTCAAATCACATGGCTAGGCAGGGATTCCAAACAGTCTTGATATTTCAGTATCATTACTCTGAATTAATTCCAATGTCTTTATCATTAACAGGTGTCAAGAAATACAAAGCCATGGCTGATGTTAATTTTACATTGGTTACTGAATTTATCCTTTTGGGACTGACAGGTCGTGTTGAACTGAAAATGGCCCTCTTCATGTTGTTCCTGTTGATTTATACCATTTCCCTAGTGGGAAATCTAGGAATGCTCTTTCTAATCTACATAACTCCCAAACTCCACACACCCATGTATTATTTCCTTAGCTGTCTGTCGTTTGTTGATGCCTGCTATTCGTCAGTTTTTGCACCCAAACTGCTGCTGAACTTCTTTGTTGAGTGGGAGACAATCTCATTCTCTGCATGCATTGTGCAGTATTTTTTATTTGTGTCTCTTCTTACCACTGAGGGCTTCTTGCTGGCCACAATGGCCTATGACCGTTACGTGGCCATTGTGAACCCTTTACTTTATACAGTGGCTATGACCAAAACAGTTTGTATTGTGGTCATATTTGGATCGTGTGTGGGAGGTTTAATCAACTAATTGACACATACAATTGGCTTGCTGAAACTGTCTTTCTGTGGGCCAAATGTCATCAATCACTTCTTCTGTGATCTTCCCCCACTGTTGAAGCTCTCATGTTCTGACACATCCATGAATGAATTGCTGCTTTTAATCTTCTCCGGTGTTATTGCCACGCTCACTTTTTTGACTGTGATGATCTCCTACATCTTTATTGTTGCTGCTATCCTGAGGATCCGCTCAGCATCAGGTAGACAGAAAGCCTTCTCCACCTGCGCCTCTCACCTGACGGCTGTGACCTTATTCTATGGATCGATAAGCTTTAGTTACATTCAACCAAGCTCCCAGTATTCCTTAGAACAAGAAAAGGTGGTGTCTGTGTTTTATACCCTGGTGATTCCTATGTTAAACCCATTGATTTACAGCCTAAGGAACAAGGAAGTGAAAGAAGCTGTGAAACGGGCTACAGAAATGAAACATTTTTCTTGTTAGTTTCATATTTCCACATCCAAAACACAGACTACAAGCAGTGGTTTGTCTAATGATATCTATGAAGATTTAGTAAAATTTCAGTCCTACAGGATACTTAAATTTTATTCAATTGGAGTATTGTGTTTTACAGTGGAAAAAAAAGACCAGAAAAGTGTGACATAGGACACATGGCTGGTTACTGTGTTCACTAACCTAAAAACCAGGCTAAGATCTAAGGTAGTTATCTCTAGGCAATTGATTACATTTTCCTTCCTTTATATGAGTAAAAATAAATATTTATGGATATATAGACACTCAAACACATACACAAATAGAGACAATGATAAAATTAATAAATAACAAAATAATTTTTGCCTGGGTCTCTCTATTGAGCATGGAAATAAGTAAAGTACATTCAAGGCAAAAAGTATTGGTACTTTCCTCATCCAGAAAATAGACAGATACATATTCCAAAAATTGACCTGCATTATTTATGGCTTGATATTCTTCAAAATAAATATATACACTTAAAAATAATCAGAAAAATTATATGGTATTAGGTTACCTTTCTACTTCAATGGTTAGTCTAAACCACATTTCCCCATTCCTGGCCTATGTTTCTACTATTACGTGTGAAATCACATTGGACAGAATATTATAGTTTTATTATCACTCCACTTCGAAGGCTCACTGATACTCAGAGAAAGCTACCCTGACGACTTTCCCTTCCTATTTAGAAAGGATGACTCCAAACTCATTAGGATGTCATTAATAATCAAATTTGTTTTTCTCTTTCCTTTACGGATCTTCCAGAATCCTTTTTAATACGTTAGACAAAAACATTCCCAGAAGAGTCATTCTAGGCAGGAAAAACCTGTGAAGTCATTTGTATTCCATTCAATTCAAATCATATGTACAAGCGCATCATCATAAGATCAATCCCACAAATATTAATTGTCTCATAGTGATTTATTCACAAACTTGTAAACTATCCTATCTGGAAAAATATGAAAAATATATAAAAACAAAATTCCAAAGAATATATTCATTGACAAATAAAATGATATATTTTTAAATATTGTTTTAAATCTTGAATTAACCGATGACAAATGGGCTAAGAAGCACACTGCAACAGCTGAATAATCAACAAAACATTAATTTTTGTATTTACATGGAAGGCTAGATTAAATTTTTTTCCTTATTGAAAACCACAATTATGTAAGTGAATGACATCAATGAGAAGAGGTGGAATTTCATGGGAAAAATTATTATTGTTCTGCTCAGTGCCCACCTTCAACTCATCCTAATAAACTGATATCTTATTGTAGTCTAAATAGAAACCAGGTGCTTCAATGAGAAAAATATCACTCACCTACAATTCTAATAGAAATTGAGGAGATTAGTGACAGAATTGTAAAATGTAGATTGGAAAATGAGTAATATATTTTGATTGTCAGAAAAAACAATATTAAATTTTCATTTACATATGATCTATTTATATATGAGACATGTTAGATATATAATTTTATTCTGAAAGTAAATGAAACTGAGTCAAGCATATCCTAAATATTCCTACATGGTTGATAGATTAATTAACAGGAAATAAATGAGAATACTACATTTAAAATAATCTGATGTTACTCCCATTAGTTGACATGTAAAAAATCAGGAAAATAGGAGTGCTCTCTTATAGCCCCAATCTGTTTACTCATACATAAATTGGTTACTGTTCAATATCATTACTAGAAGAATTCAGTACTCAGCAAATGTTGATCTTACATGACTTTGTGCCCTCAGAAAATATCTATCAAATATGTGTTTTTATTTCATGTGTGTAGCCTTGGAATCTGTGATGTGAAAATTTCCCTGACTTAGGGAAATAAGTTGCTGGCACCATTTGGACTAGCTATGATTAAATTTGTATTATGGTCATGATTGTTGCTATATGAAGACCCAGGAGACAATGCAATGAATTTATGTTCATGAAATTTGAGATTTTTGTCTTGTTCCATGAACACAGACTACAGCGATCCCAGCTGTGATGGCAATTTTCACTTGTCATTGGTTAAATGTGGCCTGTATCTAAATTCTAACAGCCAGAATCATAGACATCTAGAGCTTACATGAGTTTCAGATATTTCTTATGAAGTCTCAGAATTCATAGATTCTCATTTTTTATCCTTAGACTTCTCAGAAATTCAGTTTTTGCTAGTATACTCTTCTGAATCTAATATGTCCTGAAGTGGAAACTTGAACTTTTTATTCGTTTGTTTGTTTTTGTGATGGAGTCTCACTCTGTCACCCAGGTTGGAGTGCAGTAGCATGATCTTGGCTCACTACAGTCACTGCAACCTCTGCCTCCTGGGTTCAAGTGATTGTCATGTCTTAGTTTCCCAGTGGCTGGGAGTATAGGCACCCACCACCACATTTTCAGCTAATTTTTGTATTTTTAGTGGAGACAGGATTTTGCCATGTTGGTCAGGCTGGTCTTGAACTCCTGACCTCTGGTGGTCTGCCTGTCTTGGCCTCCCAAAGTTCTGGGATTACAGGCATGAGCCCCTGCACCTGGCCCAATCTCTTGAATTATTCCAGGCCACCTGTAATGTGAATCATGTTAATTAGAATAGGTAATTAAATAAAATCATATCGTGATTTGAAATAACAGTTTTGAAGTGTTTGACAAATCATAGGCATTTAATAAATGGAAGCAATTTCAATTAGGATTCTTCTTCATATATTTCTGCCAGACCAAAAAAATACTCTTTTTAATATTTATTATAATATTTCATGTTTGTTGGTTCATTTCCATTGTCACTTTATTTTAAAATTGTTCCAAATTTTCACAACTATGTTCTTATGCATTGTGTTTGTTTCTTTAGCTGTGTTTCAACTATATTAATGATAGGTTTTTCTTATTCACCCTCTCTTATATTTGTCATTCTATCCTTCAATTATCAGCCTACTCAATATTTTTATTTTTTTTAATTTTTGTTCCGGGATATATGTGCAAAATGTGCAGGTTTGTTATGTAGGTAAATGTGTGCCGGGGTGTTTTGCTGCACAGATCAAAACATAACATGGGTGTTAAGCCCAACATGCATTAGCTATTTTTCCTAATGTTCTCCTTTCCAGCCTTCCCACCTAGTCCCTAGTATGTGTTGTTCCCCTCCCTGTGTCCATGTGTTCTCATTGTTCAGTTCCCACTTATAGATGAGAACATGCAGTGTTTGATTTTCTGTTCCTGTGTGAGTTTGCTAAGAGAATGAGTTCCAGATTTATCTATGTGCCTGCAAATGATGTGATCTTGTTCCTTTTGTGGCTGCCTAGTATTCCATGGTATGTATGTTCTATATTTTTTAATCCAGTCCATCATTGATGGGCATTTGGGTTGATTCCATGGCTTTGCTATTGTGAAGAGTGCTACAATAAACATATACATGCATGTATCTTTCTAGTAGAATAATTTATATTTCCTTAGATATATACCCAGTAATGGGATTTGCTGGGTCAAATGGTACTTCTGGTTCTAAATCTCTGAGGAATCATCACACTGACTTCCACAGTGGTTAAATCAATTTACATTCCCACCAAGAGTGTGAAAGTGTTCCTATTACTCTGCAACCTTGCCAGCATCTGTTGTTTCTTGTTGCCATTCTGACTGGCGTGAGATGTTATCTCATTGTGGTTTTGATTTGCATTTCTGTGATGATCAGTGATGTTGAGCTTTTTTTCAGATGTTTGTTGGCCACATGCATGTCTTTTATTGAGAAGTGTCTGATCATGCATGTCCTTTGATCCCTTTTGAATAGGTTTTTTTGTGTGTGTGAGCGAATTTGCTTAAGTTTCTTTTAGATTCTGACCTTTGTCAGATGAACAGATTGTAAAAATTTTCTCCCATTCTTTAGGTTGTCTATTCACTCTGATGATAGTTTCTTTGGCTGTACAGAAGCTCTTTAGATAAATTGACTCTTGTTTGTAAATTTTTGCTTTTGTTGCAATTGCTTTTGGTGATTTCATTATAAAATGTTTGTCCATGCCTACTTCCTGAATGGTATTGCCTAGATTTTCTTCTAGGGTTTTCACAGTTACTGGTTTTACACTTACATCTTTAATCCACCTTGAGTTAATTTTTCTATAAAATCTAAGGAAAGGGTCCACTTTCAATTTTTTTGCAAATGGCTAGCCAGTTCTTTCAGCACCATTTATTAAATAGGGAATCATTTCCCTGTTGCTTGTTTTTGTCAGATTTGTCAAGGATCAGATGGTTGTAGATGTACAGTTTGGTTTCCAAGTTCTCTATTCTGTTCCATTGGTCTATGTGCCTGTTTTGGTACTGACACCATGCTGTTTTGGTTACAGTAGCCTTGTAGTATAGTTTGAAGTTGAATGCTTCCAGCTTTGTTCTTTTTGCTTAGGATTGTCGTGGCTATACAAGTTCATTAGGTCCCATATAAATTTTGAAATATACTTTTTATAATTCTGTGAAGAATTTCAATGGTAGTTTAATGGGAATAGCATTGAATCTATACATTGCTTTGAGCAGTATGGCCATTTCATGATATTGACCCTTCCTATCTATGAGCATGGAATTGGAATGTTTTTCCATCTGTTTGTGCCCTCTCTGATTTCCTTGAGCGGTGATTTGTAGTTCACCTTGAAGAGATCCTTCATTTTCCTTCTTAACTGTATTCCTAGGTATTTTATTATCTTTGGGACAATTGTGAATGAGAGTTAATTCATGATTTGGTTCATGCTTGTCAGTGGGGCGCGGGAATGTGTGTTATTTTTGCACATTGATTTTGTATCCTGAGAGTTTGCTAAAGTTGCTTATCAACTTAAAAAGTTTTAGGCTGAGTCAATGGACTTTTCTAGACATAGGATCATGTCATCTGCAAACAAGGACAATTTCACTTCCTCTCGTCCTACACTTTCTTTCTTTCTATTGCCTGATTGCCCTGGCCGGAACCTCCAATATTATGTTGAATGAGAGTGGTCAGAGAGGACATCATTGGCTTGTGCTGATTTTAAAGGGGAATCCTTCCAGCTTTTGCCCATTTGGTATGATATTGGTTGTAGGTTTGTAATGGCTCTAATTTTGAGGTATGTTCCTTCAACACCTAGTTTATTGAGAGTTTTTAACATGAAGAGATGCTGAAAGAAGGCCTTTTCTGCATCTATTGAGATAATCACACATGATTTTGTCTTTAGTTCTGTTTATGTGAAGAAGTATATTTATTGATTTGTGTATGTTCAACTGGCTGCGCATCTGTCAATTTTCTCTCTCAATAATCTGTCTAATATTGACAGTGGGGTAATAAAGTCTCCTACACTTATTGTGTGGGGGTCTAAGTCTCTTTGTAGGCCTTTAAGAACTTGTTTTATGAAGTTGGGTGTTCCTGTATTGAGTGCATACGTATTTAGGATAGTTAGTCCTTCTTATTGAATTAAATCCATTCCCATAGTGTAATGCCCTTCCTTGTCTTTTTTGACCTTTGTTGGTTTAAATTATTTTGTCAGAAACTAGGATTGCAACCCCTCCTTTTTTCTGCTTTCCATTTGCTTCTTAAATTTTCCTCCATCTCTTTGTTTTGAGCCTATGTGTGTCTATGCACATGAGCTGCATCTCCTGAAAACAGCACACTAATGGGTCTTGTCTTTGTGTCCAGATTGCAATTTTGTGTCTTTTAATTAGGGCGTTTAGTCCATTTACATTTAAGGCTAATATTATTATGTGTGAATTTGATCTTGTCATCATGATGCTGGCTGGTTAATTCTGCAGACTTGTTAATGTAGCTGCTTCATAATGTCATTGGTCTGTGTACTTCAGTGTGTTTTTGTAGTGACTAGTAATAATTTTTCCCATCCATGTTTATTGCTTCCTTCAGGAGTTCTTACAAGGTAGGGCTGGTGTTGACAAAATCCCTCAGCATTTGCTTGTCTGAAAAGGATTGTATTTCTCCTTTATTTATGAAACTTAGTTTGGCCAGTTATAACATTCTGGGTTGAAAATTATTTTGTTTAAGAATGTTGAATATTGGCCTCCCATCTCTTCTGGCTTGTAGGGCTTCCTCTGAGAAGTTTGCTGTTAGTTTGGTAGGCTTCCCATTGTAGGGTACCTGGTCTTTCTCTCAGGCTGCCCTTAACATTTTTTCCTTCATTTTGACCTTGGAGAATCTGATGATTATGTGCCTTGGGATAGACCTTTTCATGAAGTATCTTATTGGGATTCTCTGGATTTCTTGCATTTGATTGTTGGCCAGTCTTCCTAGGTTGGAGAAGTTCTCCTGGATGATATCCTGAAGTGTGTTTTCCATCTTGGCCCCTCCCCACCTACTCAATATTTTAAAAAATTGTTTTTATGGTCAGCCAATAAATTGACAAAAATGTTGAACCTGATAATTACCCTACTCTCCTAATTGGATAAGTTACCCCTAATATTAAAAAGCAATCTTCTCTATGAAAGTTCACATATATACATGTGTGTGCATATGCACAATACACACACACTTACACACACAAATTCTATTTAGTAATTTCTTCAACATTTTTGGGTTCTCTCACATTGGAACATGTATATATTTTTCATAGTTACTACAAATAATAATAACGTGTTAGTAGAAGCTCATGACCACCACAAAATGGAATTTAGAGCTCTTTACAAATAGTATACATACTATATCACCTATAATATGTACATATAATTTATGTAAATTTTAATTATTACCACCAGTGGAGTTAATTTTTAACAGTTCAGTTTTTCCTTGTAAAGCCTCTCATAGGTGAGAAAAGAACACCTATGACAATTTTTCTCTGAAAGTAATAACAGGCCAAATATATGAATTGCTATACTTTGGAAAGAATGCTGGGGTCTTACGCTCTCCAGGCCTATCTTTAGCTGTTTTAATGAAACCTCGTTTTCAACAAATCACTGGGGATTCTATCCTCCAAAGGCTCTAAGCCAAATATAAACACGACAGCCTGGAAATTCAAAGAGCCAGGGCTTCCTCTAAACATCAGGTAGGTCTCTTGTTTATGTCTTCTAAAAAAGGGTTTGTAAATATCTTCTTGGTTTTTTCAAAAAAGAGCAACTGTCAGTACCTACTGAGTATAATATGAGAAAGAAGCATTTGCCTCAAATCCATTTCAATCATTGAGACAAGTGACATTTAATTGCAATATTAAATTGCAACATCAGCTGGCTTCCTTAAAATAATTTGAGGGTTTATTTTATATTTCCTCCAGTAGTTATAATTAAAGCTTCATATCTTTGACTGACATAAGTTGCAGAAAAGCACTTATATGAAGAAATTATTTGAAATATAAGGCTAGTTGTTATAAAGTATTGAATTTTGTTAAATCTGAAAAAAGGAACAGCAATTTCTTTGCCCTTATTGCAAGCAATAATTTTGAGAATCAAACATTAACTTATTTTATTGCAACTGATTTTATAGCAAAAGAAAAAAAAATACAATGTAAAAAGTAGTCCAGTAGTCCAGGTCAAAACTATCATTTAAATAAAAATTAAATAAACAAATGTAAACAGTGAAATAAAAAGAAATTAATAGTCAAAGTAGCAGATTTGGTTTGTTTAAAAAGAAAGTCAACCAGGGCAAAGCTGGTTAAACAATATTAAAACAAAGAAGGCAAAGAACAAAAATGTTAATTTAGTCGAAAAGTAATTTGTCAAGTATGTGGACAGACACCCCTATTTTCTCAGTCTATTTTTTTGTTTGAATTACTTTTTTTTTTTTCCAACATAGAACATGTCTATTTATTTTAACCTTTAATGAATTTCCAAG